ACGCGCCCTATAGCGAAAATCTCTCCCCAAAAAAAAAAAAAAGTGTGGTGTTGTTTTCTGTGACCTTTTTTTGTAAAAATTTATAAAGCTGCTTGTAGTTATGGTTTAGAAATTTTCATTGTTACATAATATTGCCATTTTGTGAATGTTGTCACTATATTTATTCATCTACCCGTCAATGGACAGTTGGGTTATTTTTTGACAATTTTTTTTTTTGGAGAGGTTTTGCTATAGGGTGCATGCGCTCGCCAGACAGACAGAGATAGACAGAGAGATAGAAAGCGAGAAATCACCCCCCCGGGGGGATGGCCACGCCGCAGTCCCTTCTCCATTCTCCTCTTGGGCTCTTGGGCATGCACGCACACGCACCCGTTGTGAGTTTAAGCCACCGGGTCTGGGACTGACTACGTAGGAGTCCAGCAACATAGCCATTACACCAACTGCTGGTCCCATTTTTTGAACATGTTAAATACTGTTATTGTGACCATTCTTAGGCAGGTCTCCTTGGCACAATTTGATAATTTCCCTTGAGAGTGGAATTGCAGCATCATGGCCATAGGCATTGAGTCCAGATTTACTAGATAATGGCAGCTGCTTTCCAAGGTGGTTATACCAACTAATGCTCCAGTTAGCAATGTATAGATTTCCTGATCTATATATTCTTCCTTGGTTAATTTTACACTTTGATATTTTCATTGGTTGAGTGGTATAAATGGTCTGTGGTCTTTATTTGCCTTTGCTTTTATCTATGTATTGACCATAAATGTTCTTTCTTCTGTGAACTGTCTGTAGCTTATCCCTATTTGTTCTATCGATCACCATGTTCTTATTGATTTATGTGAGTTTTTGCATATCCTTGTTGCTATTTTTATGTTAGGTATGTGTTGCTACCCCTTTCTTCAACTTGTGACTGTTTTTTTTTTTCAAAAGTTTGTTCTGTGCTTTACGGTAAAGTCTACAAGTTTTCTTTAAGAGCCAGTAATGTTTGTGGCTTTTTAAAGAATTTTTTCCTTTTCCTAAGGTCAGAAGTCATTTGGCTATGTTTTCGCTGAAAAAGCATAAAGTTTTGCTTTTAATTTTGAAATTTCTTAGTTTGGGTGGAGTTAATATTTATTTATGGTGTGAGGTAAGACTCCATTTCTTTGCATTTGCATAGCCAGTTTTTCTAGCTCCACTTTTTTTTCTCAGTTGATCTGCTGTGCCTCCTTCGTCATGTATTAACATTCCCTGTGTGTATAGGTCTTCTTTAACTCTAAATTTTATTCTCTTGATCTCTTTGTCTGTCTTTGCACCTGCATTTTAAGTATTACGGCTTTTTTAAGTCTTGCTAGCTGGTAAGACAAGAATCTTCACCTTTATTCAACTTTCTTGAACTGTCTTAGTATACTTTTTTCCCTGATCTTGTGCATATTTTTTTTTTTTGACAGACTTGACATCATATCAAGCAGTCTTCATCTGACATTGTAGGCTTTTCTTATTCATTAATGTACTCAAAAATGTTAAGTTTGGTGGTACATTTTTTAAATACAGGTCCTGTATATTCCTTCACTATTGATGACCATTCAGGCTGCTTATTGTTTTTTTGTTACTAAGAATTATTACCATGACAAATAAACATATATTTTAATCAATTGTTGATTGATATCTTAGGTGAAAAAATGAATATTAAGGGTTTACTAAATGGCTTTCCAGAAGGATTGTACCAACATATCACTCTTGTGTTCATTTTGTAGAAGAAAATATCTAAGAACACTCCAATAACTGGGTATAAACAATTAAAAAGTTATAATTTTGTTAGGTAAACATCCTTTTCCAAGACAAATTTTCTTGTGCCAGTTATTTACACCTTTCTAAATTTGATTTCTCGGAAGTATTTTTGCCTTTGACTTCTACCACTGTTTCCTATAACCATAGGAAACCTATTGCTGAGTAGGTGACATTGTTCACTTGTTTGTTGCAGAAGAGCAACAGTTAAATATTGGAATTAATTTTGTATTTTTATCTTCTTACTTACAGAATAGTTGTAGGTTTTTTGGTTTTGTTTTAGAGAGGTTTTTGCTATAGGGCGTATGTGCATGCCAGAAAGACAGAGACAGAGAAACGGAAAGCGAAAAATTACCCCCCAGGGGGATGGCCACACTGTAGTCCCTTCTTGTTCATTATCCTCTCAGGATCTTGGGCATGCACGCACAAGCACCCGGCATGAGTTTTAAGCCACCAGTTCCAGGACTCGAACCACAGTCGACTACATGGGAGTTTAGCAACATAGCCATTGTGCTAACTGCTGGTCCCCAAGAATAGTTGTAGGTTTTTAAAAATAATTTTGTAATTATTATTATTATTATCATCATTATTTTAATTTGACCTGGGGGTTGAGGGGAGGAGTGAGAAAGCAAGCTGCCAGGTCCGGGACTCAAACTGCAGCTAGCCTTGTTGAAGTCCAGCACCTTAGCCACCATGCCACCTGCTAGCGCCCAATAATTGTATTTTTTATTTATTTTTTTGGAGAGAGATTTTTGCTGTAGGGTGCATGCTTTCGCCAGGGACAGAGAGAAACAGAGAAAAGAAGAAATCACCCCCCCAGAGGGAGTAGCCACACCACAATCCCTTCTCATCCATTCTCTATCTTGGGACCTTGGGCACACATACACATGTGCTCAGTGTGGGTTTTAAGCAGGGAGTCCAGGATTCAGACCAAGGTCAACTACATGGAAGTCCAGTGACAGAACTATTACGCCACCTGCTGGTCACAGTAATTGTAGGGAATTATATCAAGTATTAATTCAGGAAATAATTACAACATTATTGATCCATTATAAATTAATTCTGTGTACTTAACAATCTGGTTGTTAATTACATTTGTATAAGTTATGGTACTTTGCATTATAAATTTTTCTTTTTGGTATGGTCAAATGACAGTAATTCTTGCTAATGTTTATTTCTTACTACCAGAAAACGTAGATATTTTCATTAGTGAAACATAAGCAAAGTGTGATCAGGCTACATAAATCATTTACGAAAGAGTTCTGTGAAAAGATCCATTTGTAGCTTAAGAGTAAGTAGAATCATGCATGTGGAGGCTTTTATTCAAAATAATTTTCTTGTTAAAATTTTACAAGGTTCTTGTTAAAACAATTTCATTTCAAGGATTTTTAACATTAATGAAGTGATCAAGAAAATATGGACACATAAGCACCCAAAGATGTTTATCATTTAATTTTTATAATGATGAAAAAAGAAGGAACCTTAGTGTCCAGCTCTAAGGCCATAGTTAATGAAACGGTGTTTCAGTAGCATTGTGATAGCCAGTTAAGTCTTAAAGAGAAGCAAATTTGTGTGATCAAAGCAGTATAGAGAATTATGTGATACCACTGAAGACCTCTCCACACCCCTTAGAAAAAGGCAAAAACAGGGAACTATATCAAGTATTAATTCAGGAAATAATTATAACTTTATCGATCCATTATAAATTTGTTCTGTGACCTAGCTAAGTTCAATCAAAGTTGTACAAAGTGGTAAAGATGATGTTTCTAGGATAAGTAATAATTGCACACAGAAAAAAGATTTTAGCTGTTTGGGATATTAGCAAAATATCTGAAAGGTTAGCTATTAGGTCATCAGGAAAGTCATGATGCATTTTTGCATAGAAAAATGCAAAATATTTCACTAAATAATACTAATATTTTACTAGGCCTGTCATTATTTGGGTGAGAAAAAAGCTTTCATTGAAATTTTACACAGGCAGTAAGTACTAATGATACTGTGCTGATTTCACTAAGAGATTTTACCTAGGTAATAAGAACAATTGATAATGTGTTGATAACAAATATTGAGGGACTGAATATATTGTATACAACAGAGGAGGAAGAATTAAGGAAATGTTCTGTTTTGCTTTTTATCTGTTTATAAAACTTAACTGACTCTGATAAACTTTATTCTTGTTAATGTCTCAGTTTTCTGTGGTAAGATATACATTAATGAGAAATTTATAATTCTCTATTTTTTAGATGACGATGATAAAAAATGTAGCTCAGAAGTGTTTGCAGAGATAGAAACCTGTCTAAATGAAGTCAGAGATGAATTTTTTATTAGAATTCAGCCCCAGCTTAGATGCACCTTGGGTAAGTAGTTGGTGTTATTTGTTTTACTCATCTGCCATCTAGAAATAATGTATATCATAAGGAAGTATTCATTTTTATTACTTTAAATGAACAGATTCTTAGGAGAGGGTTATGTGTATAGTTTGACTTCGGCATCTACAACTGGTTAAATCATTGTTAGGCAGAGTTCTTCTGGTGAATAATGAGGAGGTACACCATCGGTTATTTTTCCAGGACTTTCTCTGGAAGAGTAATTTAACACTAATATTCTTTCTTTCTTTAAGTTTACTTATTTACTTCTTCAGTGAGTGAGACAGAGACTGCCCGACAGTCTAAATTCTGTAATAACCCCTTAGCCTCAGACAGCCTCAGATCATGGGAATAACTGCTCGGTCTGTTCAGGGAAGTCTCCATACTGGGACTTGAAACCTTTGGTGGATCAGCCTTGCAGAGTACCTTGTGTTACTGTTGTATTGCTGTCTAGCCCCTAAAGCCAGCATTTCTCCTTAGATTGGATTTTAAAAAGCACATAGGGAATTTAAAAGGAAATATCAAGTCATCGGAAAAGTCTTGACATACTTTTCTGTTCTTCTGTGCAAAAATGCATCATGACTTTTCTGATGACCCAATAGTGATACTAGGGTGCCTTACCAAATCAGTTAAACTGGAATCTCAAGAATGTGGCTCAGGTAGTCAGTAAATTTTAAAAGCCTCCTCATGACTCCCACGTGTGGATTAGGTTGAAGATCTTTAATCTAAACCAACCATAGTGATTCAACATCTTTTTTTTTTTTTTTTTTTTTTTTGGGGTTTACAGGGCACGTGTGCTTGCCAGAGAGAAAGAAAGCGAGAAATCACCCCCCAGGGGGGATGACCACACCGCAATCCCTTCTCTTCCATTCTCCTCTCGGGATCTTGGGCACACAAGCACACGCGCCGGCCTGAGTTCAAGCCACCAGGTCCAGGACTCAAACCATGGTCGACTACATGGGAGTTCAGCACCATCGCCATTATGCTAACTGCTGGTCCCAATTCTACATCTTGCTTGTTTTAGAAATACAATGTGTTGGGGGCCAGCAGGTGGTATGGTGGTTAAGGCACTGGACTCCCACATGGCCATCCAAGGTTCAAGTCCCAGACCTGGTGGCTTGCTTTCTCACTTTCTGGCTCTCTCTTCATCTCTCTCTGGTGAGTGTACATGCCCTGTGGCTAATTTAAAAAATAATAATAATTATAAATGTAAAACTTTTTTTTTTTTTTTTTTTTGTTAATAAAAGAGAGAGACATGTGGTACAGTTTTGGCCAGTGGTATAGCAGAAGAAATAGACTAATGACCCTTGTGGAAAGCTTTCCGATCTGCAAAAAAGGTGGACAAGTGCCTCTATAACATGGTGTTTGGCTGTGAGCATGAGAGGAGCGTAGAGAGGGGGAGCTAAGAATCTCTAAAGAGGTTTTTTGATTTTACTAGTATTACAAAAGGAGCCAGTGGAGAAGTTTTTCTTTTTAATTCCCTTTTGTCCTGATGTTAAGTTTCCTATTAATATAGCAGCAAACTATGTAATACTCCCTATTATTAACTATCCTTATTAAACATCAAATATTAGTACCTTAGAGTTTTTCTCTCATCCAGTGGCATTTATTTCATCAGACTCAGATATTGTATCTAAAACCAGTGTCTTTTGTACACATTAGATAGATTTGACCTTCTTTGTCCCATAGTTTGTTTTTGGTTTTGTTTTTCTTTTAGGTGTTTGCCTTAGGGTGTGTGCACTTGTGGGAGAGAAACAGAAAGAGGGAAAGTGAGAAATCACCCCTCCCCACCCCTGCAAGGGGGATAACCATGCCGCAATCCCATCTCCATTTTTTGGATTTGGGGCACGCACGTACGTTCACCTGGCATAATTTTCAAACTGCCAGGTCTGGCCCTGGAACCATGGTGTTGGCCATGTGGGAGTCCAACAGCTTAACCACCTCGCCACCTGCTGGCCCCATCCATGGTTTTATTCTATAGTTTTCTTTGTTTTTTCCTAGATTCATCCATATGTAAGTTCACTCTGCCTTTTTTTTTTTTTTTTTTCAAGTTTATGAGTTTATTTTTTCCATGAGAGAGAGAGACAGCCTCCTCCAGCAGGGTATTCATGCTGTGATCCACTTCCAGACTCAGCCAGCCTGGATCCTTGGCACATGCCTACACACCTTGGTGTGGACAGAGAGGCACTGGGATATTAATCCAGTCCTTACCTTGTGGGTTCAGTATCTTAGAATGTTGCATTGTCGTGTGCTACTGGCTTGCCTCTGCTCTGTTATAATAATAAACTGACTTTCCATATGGCACATCTCTGGCATTGCCTCCTCTAGGCCCAGTCTGTCTAATCGATTCTAATCTATTAGGTGAAATCTCAGATGGAATGAATACTGTTTTTCCTTTTTATCAAAGTATAGTGTACATACAATAAACCACTTTTTAAATTAAACATACAATTGTGCAACCATCACCATGATCAAGATATGGGACAGTTCTCTTATCCTAAAAAGTCACCAGGCTCATGTTTAGTCGTCCCTGTTCCTCATCCCTAGTCCTGATCTGTTGGATGAATGCTCATTTCAACAGAGCCTTTTCCAGAAGCTCCCTGAGCACAGACTGAGGGACTTCCCTGTTGCATTTGGCAGATACCATTTCTCCTAGAGGCACCTGAGATGTTTTGTTCAGGGTCCCTACTCCAGTTCCCAGTTGAACTAAAGAGTGGTTTCTGCCTCTTATCCTTGATAGTTATATTTGGAACAAGGTTGCAGCTCTTGCTTCACCTCTGCCTTGGGCCTGGTTTTCTATGTAGCAGAGAAGGGATTTCTACATAATTACTGTGTATAATCCTAACAATTGGGTAAGCATGCAGCTCTTCCAACACAGTGGGGTTCCTCTCTTACTTGTACTACCCACTCAACAACAATGGGTGCTGTATCAGCTGATGAAGTCTAATCCTCGCTTCAGGGATCTCTTCAGATGTTACCATTTATGTGTTTGGGTTTTTTTAGAAAATTACTTAATTCCATTTGTTGTCGTTATTTTTTAAATTTGACGAGAGAAAGAGAGAAAGCAAAAGGTTCTAAAGACACATGTTGAATTCTGTACTGACCTTAAGTTTAAGTGTTGGTTAAACTGTTAAGCTCAGGTTTTTTCTAATTTTTATTATTATTATTTAAAAACACATTATAAACTATCCTCTTTCCTCTCTACTCTTGCAGTTTAAGAAATAAAACAGTACAAATACAGCTGAGGACCCTTTTGCACTCTTCCCCACTTTTTCCTTATCTCCCACAAAGCTAACTACTATCCTCAGTTTCATACTG